CTCGAGAAGGCGGGGCAGACTCGGGCCGCTCTGGCGACTGAGGAAATTCAAAATAAGCAGAATAAAATGATGAAATAAGTATAAATTAATAAACAATGCAAGAAAATAAAAGATGTTTCAGCTATTAGACTCGAGTATATTTCAGTACATTACCTCCAGTAGTCAACTCAAATTTGATGATACAATTCACCCATGATTGCAGATTTCTTGAGTCAAAAATCTTGGGATGTGAATTTATAACAGACATTATAAGTCAATTAATTAAAAGAAATTAAGAACTTAAAATAAAAAAATAATGATGAAAAAATAAATTTATAAGATAGGCTGAACAAGAATACAAACTTTTAGTCAGTTAGACGGTAATAGGAGATCTTTGGTTTAACTAAATGCACTTTAAGGTTGACTGTAGTTTTGAGCATGTGATTAAATTAAATACCCAAAATAAATAACGGCTCCATCTACTGTTTCAATAGATTAGATTAGTTGATTAGTGAGTAATTTAGGCAAATGTTTAGACTCAAAGGTCAATTTTTAAATTAGATTATTCTAGCTAAAAATGGGACTTGTTTGAAAATGGCTGTTAAGAAAATAATATCAAGAGGCAATTAACTTGGACAGCAAAAGATTATCAACATGATATCGAGAGTAAATAGGCTAAATCAAGATGTGTGTGTCCAAGTAATGTGAGCGACTAACAAAATTTGTCCGAAATTATTTTCACACTGATAAATATATATTTATATTCAAATATATCATATTAATTGATAAAGTACAAGTTTGCGTGTGACAGATCAAAATTTAAAATTGAATTTTTGTTTTCTTTAGTGTGTAAGTTCAAAAAAAGTCCAGGTCAAGATAAAAATTGTGTATTTCAAGAAAGATGTTTGATGTTATTTCAAGCAAAAAGTGGTGACAATCTTTCTTGAATCATATTAATTGTGAATGGTCGAATCAATGGCGAAATAATGTTACTGATCTGAAGACTTGATTTTGAGTGTTCCAAGTGTTCCAAGAGATTTTAAATACAATTTTTTTTTGTAATTTTGATGACGATAGAGCAAATACAGTGGCAAGGCTTTTGACGCATGAAAATACCATTTGCTAACTCAAATTCAATTTCACGCATTCAGATCTCATAATTAATGAGTTGCTCATCTAATCCACTTTTTTTTTACAATCATTAACAACGTTTATTTGGTCATAACAGACATTGGTCACTCAAACCTGGCCAGCAAAGCAAAAATCAAATCGCTAATGGGATGAATCACATTTTTTTGAAGTTTTTTGTTTGCCTTAAGAACCGTATTTAACCAAATCGAAGTTCTTTCGATTGATTTTTACTGTTTATAATTAAATTGGTTAATAAAAAACATATGCTCTGGTTTTATTTGAATTTAACTCTCTTGCTTTGATTCGATTGGCACTTTTTTATCGTCATCACCAACAGCATTAGATTTTCCATCACTTGAAGATGCTGACGTAGAAGGTTTATCATTGCTAGATCCATCATTATTTTTCACATCTAATTTTAATCCAATAATGTTACTTTTATTATCGACGATAGGAGTATTTGTTTGTGAAAACCTTTGTATTCGTAATTTCCTAACATCATCTGGAACATGATTAGTTTGACTAACTTTCTGTGAATTAGAATTAGATGATGAAAGATTATTGATGTTATTTGACGAGGAGGACAAGTCTCCTTGTCGATCAAGACCAACCGAAAGTGGGCCAGCGACTAGTTGATATTGGTTAAGTTGAGCAACAGCAGAATCTAGAAGATTTTTTATGTTGAGAAGACACCTTATTCTAGCCTCAACAGCTTCTCTTTCGTTACCTTCCATCCGCCTGAGTTCTTCATCGGTTAATTGCGATAAATTCGGTGGAGAGGCAGCCATGGGAGGTACAGGCGGAGGGAATGGCACAAAAGGCATAAAATGAGGAAATCCGGGCAAAGTGAATAATGAACGAGGTAATGAATTAGAAGTTGTTGCAGCAGTACTGCCAGAAGTAGTTGTTGTTGATGATGAAACTGACGCTGATGAAACTGATGATGACGGCGAAGACGATGATGCACCGGAATTAACACTTGTTGTATTTGTGGTTGTAGTGATTGTGGTAGTTGCAGTTGAGGCTGGAGTTGAAGATGATTGCTGTGGTTGTTGTTGATTAGCAGCTGGCTGAGCTTGGTGTTGATTTTGTTGCATTTGCTGTGCAAACTGTGCCAGAAAAGGTCCCAATAAAATTTGAACTATTTGACGAAACAAAAAAGAGATGAGTAGTTAGTAAAACTGATTACATCAGGTTGAATTTGAGAATTGATATCACAGTCATTCCCGTTTCTAACCTATGCAGCGAAATTCTTGGACAACTCGTTCCAGACCATTTAATTAACGAACGGCTAAAGGTACATACTTAAATTTGGTAACAATGAGTAGCTACAGATCAGAGCTTCAAGATGATATAAATCAAGCTATAATCCAAGATTGAATTCAGGATCATTTAGGACTTTTCATGTAGCTCGAAAATATGGGGGGGTCTAACTTTTTTGGCATAATTTTTGTCTTATTTTTGATCCTATTAATTAGTGCGTTATAATTTCGAGCTGCAAAGTCATCAGCATAAACTTGAGGTTTCATATTAATATAAAATGCTTAAATATACCAGATTTTAGGAATCGTAAGCGGATTAGAGGACATTTAATAAGCTATTAATTTAGAGTTAAGGATTTTCGAAAAAATACAGAGACGCGCGAATTTCAAAACAGCCGAATAAACACTTAACTATTTCTTGCAAAATTTTCAAATTTCTACTGGACATTAATCATGATAAGATGTATAATTGCTGAAAATTTCAGTCGTTTATCTCCTTTAGTTCCTGAAAAAATCTTGATCTTATCTGTCCAAGAATTTCGCTGCATAGGTTAAATGGAAAGTTCAATAAAGAAATAAATTGTAACTTTAAAAATGTCAAGGTAACGTAGGGTTCCAGAATGTAAAAATGGCATTGGCAAAGAATTTGCTAAATCTGCTTCAAAGTCTGGTCCTGAATTTCCTATCGAATATGGTTGTAATTCTTTGATAAAGATATGACAGGGATTAAAACTCTCTACATACAGTACGATAAACAATAACTATAGAATATAATTTGAAGTAATTTAGCGAGTCATAGTCTTTAAGTAGGGAGAATAAATATAATTTGGTAAAAAACTGATTGACTGAATTCACAGTAATTAATTCAAGTCATGGGGCTTCTTACTAATTTATAACTCTTTGCTTGCAAATTAGATATTAGCATAATTTCTAGGAAATACGATAGTTTAAAGTTATTTAATCAGAATGACGAAACTAAACTTTAAGTAATCGAATATTTAGAGTTATTCTGCAAAGCTATTGAAACAGCTTAAGTCATAAATTATTCAATTTACACTTGCAAAAACTAAAATTCAAGTTAAAACTGCCAAAATTTGAAATGAAAACAAAAACATAAAAATCAGAAGATAACGCATTCGATAGTCTGAAAAGATTCTTTGAGGAGAATCGAAAGTTTTAAAAGAAATATAAGAAGAGTTGGTATTGAAACTTGAATGAAAACAGGTAAAAATGATACTTTCGGAAAAATCAACAAACCTTGAGGAGGTAGAGGAGGTTGAGCTTGCTGAAGAACTGGAGCTCCTTGTCTTGCTTGGCGATTAGCTGGTTGAGGTGCCGGTTGAGGCGTTATGGTTTGAAGAACGTCCATTCTGCAAGTTGGACATGTTTGCTGCCTTTGGAACCAAGATCGCAGACATGAGACGTGGAAAATATGATTGCAAGGAAGTTTTTTAGCTGATCCATTACCAGTCATCTCTTCACGACAAATAATGCAAACATTATCATTATTAGCTAAGTCTTCAGCTGTTGCATTTGGATACAAGGTGTTCATATTTCTGATAGCCCTTCGAGACATGATGACATCACTGAATGCTTTCCTTAAGGCTCTCATGCTTAAATACATAGGTCTTATTGCAAATAATGGGAAGGTGTGAATTTTCATCATGATTGAAATAAAAGAGAGATAAAGAAAAACTTTTCCAACGCTCATTATAAGTTCAGTATAGAGTAAATATACAGCCTTATTTTCCCAAGGATTTTCACGCCGGAGATCCATAAAATGTAAGCCATATTTCATTACTATGTTGATAACAGCCGTAAAAAGAATTGCATACTAATGAGGAATAGAAAATCAATAAGTTAATATACAAAAATAAAGATAGATTAATTATTAAATAGATATGTATTTACCTCAAATCCAAATACTAATTGAACTGAAGCTCCTCTGGTCATTGTGCTATAATAAGCTAAGTTCACGAAGAATATGTCAAGCGATGCTAGTAAAAATAACAGCGAGATAACTCGAAAATGGAAAATGAATGGTATATTTGGACTTCTTTCCATGAAATCAACCCTATCTTCAGCTAACCAGTGAAAACATTTTAGGAACAATAACAGGGTGAATAGTGCCACAAACTTCGGGCTTAAATCATCCCTGAAAACAGTGAAAGCAAGGCATGTTTCTGTAACCGCATACCAAGCTCTTTCAATCAGATGTTCCATCTCAGCTGCTCTCAATTGACCAAAGAATATCCTCCTCATTAGCTTACCTGTAGATAAAATGATAATGAAAATAATTGATTAAAAATTCCGTCAAAAAAATTACAAAAACCCGTAACTGATAATAAAATCAGCTGTTGGCTGAAGCGTTATCAAGATTGCTACAATATGGAATGTACAAAAGATATTATGTAAGACTGATTTTAATCCCATGACTCTTCTTGACTGATAGCAATAATTGAAAATGTATAACAAGGGAAGAGTTTATGATTATATCCAATGAGAACAAAAGCCATTGATTATAGATTTTGAATATTATACAGAATGAAAGGTAACTCGCGAATAAGAACAAGCTTAATGTCAACGAGGTGATGAGACAGGTTTGATCAGAATTTGCAAAGCTTTCAAATTAGTGAATCAGGTTATTGTTATACACATATTATTACGTACCCATAAGAAGGACAAAGACAAAAGCTTGTGAATAAATTACCGCCATAGATGGATTAGATTTAGTAATATAGACAACCGAAGGATAAAACTGTTTCTTCTGATAATATGCGTTCCCAATGACGGCCATGGTTAACAGGATTGAGACAACCGTTAACATTAACGATTTAAAGTCTTCCATCTTTGAAACTAGATGATGGTTGAAGGAATAAATAATCGACAGCAAAACTCTAGTAAGAGAAAGTAATGTTGTTACAATAAAAAACAATCAAACATATCAAAATCAAAAGACACGTAATCTAAATCAAAGAGAAACAAGACAACTTTAGTGAAAAAACAGCAAAACAGTTGATCGATGTATCGATGATGAACTATCGCAGGACTAGAAATTTCGTTCACTTTATTGATTATAGATGGAACAGTTTTTCATTTAACTGTAATTTTTTAACTTTTACTGTTTTGATTTGAATCAATTCAATCATTAAATTTCAATCATTTGAAAAACTCAAACAAAACAATCTCAGCTATTGTTTTCTGATGAGTGAAAAGTATTTAAATAGTGTTTTGAAATTGAAAAAAATGACTTTACTTTTGTTTGACGTTATATTGGTTTTTTCATCAATTGAAATGTTAACAATATCAAATATGTGATCAATAATCAGAGATTATTTTAACAAAAGGAAAGATACCATATATTGATTATAAAACTAGAAAAATGGTCAGAAGTCTAACAGATGATTAAATTAATTGTTTACACCAGTAAAATGATTGTAAGAAAAAAGTTAGATTGAGTTGGAATCGTAAAATCAACTTTGCTCTGTGACTTCGTATGTTTTCATCTTTCGTGCCAATTAAGTACATTAATCTATCCTTTTTGCGATTCATGATCAATTACATGGAAAGAAATTAATGATTCTTTCAGTATTATTTTATTAGTTGAATGTCTCTGCTAAGTGAATATTAGTAACCTATGAATTGAATATTAAACTCAAATTGGAAAATTTTATTAGTAAGTCAATAATCAGTGCGCCGTACGCTCAGCTTCATCAATATCGTCAGGCCATGCATATGTAAGATGAGATACCAAATTATCAGCAACGGTTCCAAAACCAATCATGAGAAATAAGCCGATTGCAGCAATTGGAGCTAAAATCGGAGCAAAAAAGAGGGCAACTATACCTAGAACCAAAATGATTGCTCCCAAAATCTAAAACAACGAGAAGGATATTGAATTAAAATATTATATGAAATTGTAATTTGATTTTTCCATTAACTTAAACTAATTTCGATCTCATTCAAAGGTGTACTTACCATAAGTCCGAGACTCAAGTAAATATATCTTTGAATCTTTTTCCGTCTTTCCGTACTAATAACTGGAGTTAACATTATAAAATAACACAACAGATAAAACTTAACAACAAAGCTTCAGATTCAACTCACAATGATGTCAGATTGTGTGTTAAGACTACGGAGTGATTGGAAAGTTTCTAGTGTGTGATGTGTTGCCTTAGTTGGGTAGAAGAGTGACAGTGAGAGTAAACCTTTTACTATGCGAATGAAACAGCAACTAAACAGTGTCTTTGCTCACAGAAGGGGATAATGCACCTCACGCCAGAAACCTTCCGATTACTCTGTAATCTTAACTCTTTGGAGTAATCAATTGATGCGCCATCTACCAGAGTATCTATTTTGATTTGTTTCCATCTCTGGTTGCAACAGTTGTGAGACTTATTTTAATTAAGACTTCAGTAATCAATAAATTTCCATTTTAAATTCTTTATTTAACGATTTCTTGATTCGTTTTGATTAAAAACTCTGAGGTTCCAATCTCTGCAAAAATCGTTCTCTAAAAAACTTCCTCTATAGATTTTCTTGTACTTTTACTAAACCTTTATACCTAACTCTTTGTTCCAGTGCGATTTTCATAGCACATTGTTTTGAATGATGAATTGTGTATTAATGACTCTAATGTTATTTTATCGTGATTAAACGGTTTCTCTTTCGAGATTTAATGTTTTTTCATCTTATTGAAATTTCTTGCTTAATTTATTTTGAAACTGCTAGCAAAAAATTCATCAAACATTTGTGATAACCATTTTGGTTATTTTCTCATCAACAGATTACGTGTTTTTTAGTGTGTTTATTGTATTTTAGGACAAAAATTGTCTATTAAAATTAACATGGCAAACATATATTACAATCAAGAGTTCAGATCAACACTACAAATCGATTTAGGAGGAATTAAACCAACATAACGACCACATATCCAATCATTTTCCCTGGTGGTGCAACAAAGAGGAACTTCATACTTCAATTTTATAGCTTTATCTTGCTGATTATTTACGAAAACATAGTTATTGTCAAAAGTTAAGCAGTAAAAAGAATCAGTGGAACATTGGCGGACCCGACGATTACCTGGAAAACTGGCTCTTGTAAAGTGTCGATAGGCAAAGTATTTTTTGGGAAAAAATAAAGTCTGCTGTATTCCAGTTGCATTGGTTTTAGGTGTTAACCAGATGAGACTCTCACCGGAAGGAAAAAGAGTGAATGCAAGCCAATAATAGTAACGGGTTACACAAGTATGACCAATAAAGTTAACAATGGAAACGCCTAGGTCAATTGCCTCCTGAATAGAGTTTTTTGTTCCTGGTAAAGTTGAACATATCTCGGTCATCCAAATTGGTTTATCATATGAATGCTTATTCTGTCCTGTATCATAATAAACCTGAAAACGATTAGAAGACAATAGATTGGTATTGACATAATATCCATGGGTACTGATGATTGAACAGCTTGAATAACAGTTGGTTGATATATCACGATAATTGAGGTACAACTTGGTTATCCAAAAGTACGAGTTTTCTGGACATACACTGAGTAACTCATCTTTATACATATCAATTAACCGGCATAACTGTCTTGGACCCATCACAGTGTGTTCCCAAGGAGCAAAAACATTTTCTGGTTCATTTATCAAAGATATTGGTCCGATATTCAAACCAAAAGTGTGCTTTATCTGTTGCGTGATATTTTTCAGATAATTATAGTATTTCCATTCATAGGAACTTTTCAACTGGTGGAATCGATCCTTCATATAAAGTGGAGGTGACCATACCGAGGCAAACAACGAGACATCAGGATAATTTGATATGAGGGAATGCATTCTTATCCAAGCACATGTTTGTTCATCAATGCAGTCAATGGTGTAAACATCTTCAGCTGGACTGAACTTGGACAAGTATTCGGTGCGAAAGAGTCGAAGCCCTAAATCTGCGTAAAGATGGTCAAGAACAGACTGTTGGTTGTTGTAACTTGTCTTATTGAAGCTTCCCAATTGTCCCAAGTGAACACCAAAACCTTCAAAAGGTCTATCACAAGCTTGTTCAGATGATGAGGTTAATAAAATAACAATGATGGTTATATGGATGAAATATTTACACGATGGATTCATTATTTTCATACTAAGGTTGAAAATGTCATCACAAATAAGATTGGGTTAAATTGGACATGAATAGGTGACCCATCATAGTTGGCAAGTCATTTAATGTGATTGTTGTACTCTTGGTTAAAGAAAGTGGTTAACAAAACTGGCAAAATATCATATCAAAGTTGAGATAAATGCAATAAAAAAATGAAAAAAGATCAACGTTTGGCAATGTAAACTTCATTGACACTGGTGGTTTCAAATTTTGAATTATTTCCTTATTTCACTTCAAAAGCAAATTGCTGGACTGGTAAATTTCCAGGCCATTTTATTGCAATTATAATTAAATATAGCACTAAGCAATTGACTATCACTGAAAGATTGGTTGATCTTTCTCACAAAAATTGCTGCTGGCAATGAATTGGGTTTCCGTTGAAATCCAAATTTAGATTTGAAATGAAAAACCCAATCAACGATTGAACAACAAGTATTAGATCCCTCTGGATTGATTAACATAATTAACATTATCAATGGATTTGGTTGACATAGAAAAAAGAGGATTTGAATTAGGACACTGGTGATGAGATGGATTTGGACTGAGTAACCTTTGGAAATTCATGGTTTTATTTTCACTTCAAAAATGATAATTGTCACAGTAAAAATGACCTCAATTGTTGTGATAGTTTCAACTAACAATGAACAACTGAAATGAGGGAATCACTCGATGGAAAAAGAAAACGTTGAAATGATTTAACCACAATTTATATAAAGTAAAGAAAGGACAAATATACGGAAGATATACCTCTATTCAAATATTGATTAAGGTGGGAAAGTGGTCAAACAAGATACTTGTCAGGACATTGATATTAAAAATTGTCACAATCAGGCTGCTATTAATGAACACTTTCATATTTACTGATGAACACTCCTGTGTGCTGATTTTTCTTGGTGATTGATTCAAATTTCACTGAAAAAAAAGATCTCAATTCAAATGTATTTGGATAAAGATTTACAAAAAAGCTCATACATGCATGCAGGAAGTGTTTATATAAGTGCTTAATGGCATCTCGCAAGTGCGGGAGAGTTTTATTTTTGTCAATTGTTTCGATAATTATTGTCCTTGTATGAGTTTCGGTTGCAAGTCATGGTCTTGTTAAGTCAATCGTTAAAAATCCAGTCAACCAAATAACATTCATGTACATGTATATGTTTTGATCAATATCAAAATCAATTGTTTACAAAACAAGATGCAATAATATCATCATAACAATTCCAATTGCTCTGATATAATTCATAATTACTAAAGGACAATTTTACAATTTTATCGTTGAATGTAAACTTATACATCGTTATCTTAGATCTGTCTTCAGCCAACTGTATTAAGTGACTTCAATTTTATTAGGTTAAAATAGTTCATTAAGCCAAATCTGAATTAAATTGATAAAAGTAATTGATGTTAGCTGGTGATTCAAGACATTACCTTAATGTATGAATATTTAGTCAAATAAAAGCTTACAAATTCACTTGCTGTACAAAAAAGTGAAAAAAATGTTGAACAGCTGTTTACCATGTGATAATTTTTATTTACTTTTGTCGACGATTTGTTTATAACCATGTTTGATCGACTGTGTTCACGATTGATTATCTCAAATAGATTCAAATTAGTGAAACATTTCCGATTTTATTCTGAGGTAAGTTCATCTAGTTATTGTCTTATGATTTGTTATACTTTTCCACTCTAATCTAACGTTAAATTGATCTCCACTTTCTTGCAGGAAAAGGTAAATACGGTTGTTTCAGCCATACAGCCAACTGGCCCTGTTCATTTAGGAAATTATTTTGGAGCCATTAAAATCTGGTTAGATCTGCAAAATGATCCATCTCGTCAATGTATATTCAATATTGCCGATCTTCATTCGATAACCTTACCACACGATCCAATAAGTCTGAAAAACAATATTATCACACTGGCAGCAACTCTATTAGCGTCTGGTATTGATGCCGAGAAATGTACTTTTTTTCAACAGTCAAGGATTTATCACCATACCCAATTAACTTGGATCCTACTCTCGTTATTATCCTTCGGAAGATTATCACACCTTCCACAATACAAGGTTTTTTGAATTTGCTACCTTCACTTCAGTCTTTGCTTAATAGTAGCAACACTTTCATACTTTCGTCTAATTTAAATTTTTCATCTTGCTACAGGAAAAGTCAACCAATTTGAAAGAAATCCCTCTCACCCTACTGTTATACCCGGTCCTACAAGCTTCGGATATTATTTTGTATAAAGGTAATGAAGTTCCTGTCGGAAATGATCAACTTCCACATCTTCATGTTGCTCGTGATTTGGTCGAAAAATTTAACCGAATCTATGGTTTCGTTTTTCCTGAGCCAAAGCCTTTAATGTCTGATGATGCATTTGCTTGCAAAGTGCGAAGCTTGAGAAAACCAGAGAAAAAGATGAGTAAATCGGAAGCAACGCCTAAAGGACGAATCGATATAACTGATCCTCCTGAGGTGATTAGAGAGAGGATCATGAAAGCTGTTACCGATTGTCATTCAAATATATCATATGATTTTGATGGAAGACCAGGAGTTAGTAATTTGATATCCATCCATAAACTTTGCAGCGGTTTATCTATAGATCAGATTTGTTCGGAAGCTCGGTCTTTGACAACTGAACAATATAAATCTATGCTGGCTGATTTAGTGATTGAATACTTTAAACCCATTAGATTCAAATATCTTGATCTGTTGAAAAATGTCGATTATATTTCAGCAATATTAAACAAAGGATCAACAAAAGCTGAAATGATTGCTGAAAATACTATGTCACAAGTTAATTCAAGAATAGGATTGATTCCTTATAAATGATTTTGTAAAATTTGTAATGAGTACGAAATTGTAAATATAATAAATTTCTTTCATAGTTAAATTTATGATATAATTGTTGCAAATCGCTTATCTATTTTATTTGAAATTACAGAAAATTTAAATTTTACAAATCTGTCAAGATTTTCATGTTTTTATTTACTTGATTCAAAATTGGCGGTTGTGTGATAACATACGAGATTGCTATTTCCTATTGGATATTGTGTTTAACCTGCATCAATTTAACATTGAATAGTTCATTTTTAAACTCTTTAATTAATTAGTTATTATTATTATTATCATTTATAAATATAATTTAAGTTACAATTTAGTGTATCCAAATTTACTTCCATAAATAACATGATCCACAGTAAAGCTTGCGCTCGTTTAATTAACCTCTACTCATCATCATCTTTAACCCATAAGTTGGTTGCCATCTCAAGCTACCATGCAAATCGTCCTTCAAATTATCAACGTCGATTCTATTCAAGCGAAGGTAAGTTATTGAAGAGCTTTGATGTTTTCATGTCAAATATCTCTCATAACATATCAGGGTTGTGAGTATCATCGTTAAACAGTTTTCTAATTTCTACATTTTCCGCTTTCAGGTGAAAAAGATTTAGTTGTCATTGGTTCTGGTCCTGGAGGCTATGTTGCTGCCATCAAAGCTGCCCAATTGGGCATGAAAACAGCCTGTGTAGAGAAGAATGAATCCCTTGGTGGAACATGTTTAAATGTCGGCTGTATTCCGTCCAAAGCTCTCCTGAATAACTCTCATATGTACCATCAAGCACACGGAGGAGAACTTAATGACCGAGGTATTGAATTTACCGGTGTCCAGCTCAACTTGGAAAAGTTGATGAACCAAAAGTCTAATGCTGTGACCACTTTGACTCGAGGTATTGGTATGTTGTTCCAAAAAAACCAGGTTGAACGTTTCCATGGGGCTGGTAAAATCACTGGCAAAAATGAAGTGACAGTTGTTAAATCTGATGGATCTACAGAAACGATCAAGACCAAAAACATCCTTATTGCCACCGGTTCAGAAGTATCACCTTTCCCAGGAATAGAAATTGATGAAGAACAAATTGTTTCTTCAACTGGAGCGTTGTCTCTCAAAAAAGTTCCAGAGAAAATGATTGTTATAGGTGCCGGTGTTATTGGTGTTGAATTGGGATCTGTGTGGTCGCGACTTGGTGCTGATGTTACCCTAATTGAGTTCATGAGTAATATTGGTGGACAAGGAATTGACTTAGAGGTAGCTAAAAAGTTCCAAAGGATTTTAGCTAAACAAGGTCTCAAGTTTAAACTGAACACCAAAGTTACTTCAGCCAGTAAAACTGGTTCAGGTGTTCAAGTCACAGTGGAACCAGCTAAAGGTGGATCATCTGAATCTCTTGATTGTGATGTCCTTCTAGTTTGTGTTGGTCGAAGACCTTACACTGAAGGATTAGGACTTGAAGAGATAGGAGTTGCAAAAGATGAAAGAAATAGAATCGTTGTTAACTCACGATTTCAAACAAATATTCCTAATATATATGCAATCGGTGATTGCGTACCTGGACCTATGTTGGCTCACAAAGCTGAGGATGAAGGAATTATTTGTGTAGAAGGAATTGCCGGTGGCCCTGTTCATATCGACTACAATTGTGTTCCATCTGTTATTTACACTCACCCAGAAGTTGGTTGGGTTGGAAAATCTGAAGAGGATTTGAAAAAAGCAGGAATCGAATATAAAGTTGGAGTCTTCAATATGTCTGCCAATAGTAGATCTCAAACAAATAACGATATCGATGGGTTCGTGAAAATTTTAGGAGATAAAAATACTGATCGATTGCTAGGAGCTCACATTGTAGCTTCAGTTGCCGGTGAATTGATCAACGAAGCTTGCTTGGCTATGGAATACGGGGCTTCTTGTGAAGATGTTGCTCGCGTTTGTCATGCCCATCCAGTAAGATTACTAAAATTTTAATTTTTCAACTTTTGTTTCTCACCGAATACATTTTAACTTTTTTCTTTTCTATTTCACAGACTGTTTCTGAAGCTTTCCGAGAAGCTAATTTGATGGCGTTTAGTGGTAAAGCGATCAACTGTTAATTTAATTTAAACATTAAATTTTTGCTTGTAAATTTACAAAGTTAAACTCACAAAAAAGCCTAGTCTTAACCAGTTTTAGAAAAAACCTAATTCTATTCAAATTGATTCATTGTCATTACGGATTTGAAAGTAAACTTTCGCGTTAATATTTTTTACCTGAAAGTAAAGAAGAAAATTCAAGACACATATATTTGAAAAAATAGATCATTTACTAATTTGTCTTCTCAACACAATGACAGACAGAATCAAGTGGAATTAGGCAATAAACATCGTACGATTTTTCAAATTGATAAGATTCTGTATCAATCATCTGATCAACCTGTTGATAGATAAAGAGATATTATTTTCAGTAAAAATGTAATTAATCAAACAATTGGACTCAATGGACTAACCTTTCTTTCCCATGGACATTTTCATTCCCATTCCCATTGGCATGGATGAACCCCAACCCCAACCTCCACCACCTCCACCCATCATCATCATTGGAGCCATTTTTTGCATCATCATCGGTTGCATCTTCATTGATTGCATCTTCATTGGCTGCATCATCATTGGCTGCATCATCATGGACTTGGCTTGATACATTTTTGACTCCTCTGGATACATAACCGGAACCTTTTTAAATTTGATCGTTTCAATGGCAACAACTTTAACACCGCAACCTCCTTTGCCATCTTTCATCCCGGTTGAACACAATTGGATTAAATTGACGGCAACAACCAAAGAAGCGAAATAATATATCACAGTTTTGGCCATATTGTACAAGATGGAAAGACACTTTAAAGATAACGTTGATGGTGACTAAATGAACTAAAAGTGAAAATTAACTCGAATTTATAACTTTTTGTAATCTCAACAATTTTAATGGGAATGGTAATGGTTAACAGTTGCTGATTAGTTTGATTGTAATCGTAAACTGGTTAAAAATAGCAAAAATCATTTACTATTTAAATGATTTCACAAGAAAACAAAGACCTTTTCTGCACTTCATGCCTTTCAATGATATACAATAGAGGGAAGACGGTCAATGGAACGAGAAAAATAATTAAATTATAATTTACATCTACAAATTAGATTTGAAGGTAAATCAATCAACTGGTTTTTGACCCCAATCAGTTTCTTTGATTCAATCCAATTGAAAAGGAACATTTATCCGGACAATTGAAATCTTTTGTATTGACCTTGGTACATATTTACCTTGATTGTCATAAAATATTACTTTATGTATGAAATTTCAGCAATATTAGAATAGTTATTAATAATAGTAGTCTGATAATTTTAATCATTAATTTCTTTGTACTTTCATTAATCCAGGAAATCAGTGAAGGAAAATGAAAGCAATCAGTAGAGCTTGCTTAATGATCATGTTTTGTGAAACCGATTATCCACTATTAAATTACATAAATGTAAAATTTAAATTTTAGACTCGATAGAAAACGATTAACTTAATTTCAAAGCAATTTGCTCTTTAATAACAATAGAGAAAAGAGGAAATCTTCATCGATATCGAGTATATTTCAGCTTTAAATATGTAATTTTGATTGCTGATTGATATTAAAACAATGGGCGACTCCGGCGAAAACAAAAACCATGTTAAGGATAAATTATAACAATGAACTGAGCAACACCTATTTTCAAGACGTAACATTGAAAAATGGCTATTTTTACCATCAACCTAAGATCCGCTTTTCATTGAATCATACATGGTGACAGTACTTGCAGACAATGTTTTGGCCAATTACAGATGCGATTTAAAATTTTCACTGCAATTGAAAAATATAGTCAATTAGTCCTCTTCACTGTAAACATCATTGTCGAAACCCGAAATTTATTTGTAGTTATTAGATAGAGAAACGAAGTTCATGTTAATTGAAACAAATATCAAACCTGTTTCAACCAAATGTTTCTTATTTGTCTCATTTCTGTGAACCAGAGCAACTTGCTTCGCATCTGTTTGTTACTTAAGCTTTCAAAGTCATGTAACCACAATTCAGGCTCTTTAATAGCAAGTAAGAATAAAGAAGTAAATTCTTGAAAATTATGTACCTGATGACGTTGCTAAAGTTACATTTTACAGGTTTTTCTGTCGGGTTTTAAATTCCAACAGGAAACAATTACATAAATTTCTTGTGAAACCAGCCACTGGAAACTAAAACATCGATCAATTACTCTGTAAATCTCAATGGTTCCAGATTGGATAAATTAATCAAAATAACTTCACGGAAAAATCTTTTGCACTTAATTCTCGATTGATGCCGTCTTGATCACTATAGTTGGCTTGTTGCTTCTGTTGTTATTTTGGCTCACTCATTCAGAGCTTAACAATGAAATGTTTAAGCTCATCAAAGCGTCAATTGATCAATAAAACGTACTTTTAATTCATGAAGAAGACACAATAAACTTTACTATTTTGATTCGAAAAGTTGATGTTCATTCAATAGATGGAGCCAATCGCGAGATGATCAAAGTGATCAGTTCTGAGCTATTAACAGACAATATAAGAACGCAAGTCCAGAATTTTCAATTCCAATGTTGAGATAGATTCAATAGGAAACTCAGTCTCAGTTTGTAATTTTGTTCAACTTATCACAGCAAACGACATCAACGAACAATAAAGAGAAACAATTAACTGATTTGATTAGTGATAAGCTTTTAAACAATATTTTCATTTTGTGCAAATGAGAAACAATTTACCAGGAAAATTAAATCATTAAATAAGAAACAGAGAAACAAATAAACGAACGAAAACAAAAACTAAAAGAAAAGCCGACTCGTGAAGTTGCTATTTTCACCACCAGGAACCACGCACATCAACTTTAACCATTCAATTTGATTCAATTCATCGACAAGGTAATTAAACAATTGTTTTCAATCAAAGTTTCAATGAAAATACAATAATCTTGAACTATTAAAATGGTATTAAAAGAGTACAAAAAGCAAAGTTTAAAACCAAAAACAGAAACTAATGAATCTTTTATTTTCAATTTACAAAAGTCATTACTGTAAAACCTTAGTTAATGCATAACTCGGTTAACGCATAAAACGCTCCATCTACTGTTAATTAGTCGTTATTAGTCTAGTTTTCACAACTATTTGTCACTGTAAATTTATTGAAAAAACAACGCCATCTTACTGATTTTTCTTGGAAGCTTAACCCACATTTTTATGCATTAACTAAGGTTTTACAGTATTATTAATGGTTAAACCAAGCTGACAAAAATATTACATCAAATATTGAAGCAACATCTTATTAATTGAAAGGTGACTTTGAACAAACAAAATGTTGCATGAAATCGAAGAGGAAAAGATCAAAATTGAGCTTCCATCGACAACAAGTTTCCAAAACATGAGTCCAGGCAATTCAGTTTAATCAATTTTTTCTTCATTTTCATTTCTTCCAATTGTTTGATCCCAAATTGAAGATCAACAATTGTAAAGTGAACACAATGAGACAAATGTTGACAAATCAGTTTCATTTGACGACAACATGGAAACTCATTTTTACCTTCAGTTATTGTATATTTATATTCATGATAATGATAGTCAAACAACAAAAGTAGATAAGTGAAAGTTGGTTATGAAAAAGCAACAGAAATTGTAAGAAGGGAAAAGTTGATTTTTTGTATAAAATGAATATCAGTTGCAGTTGATATTAGTAGTTATTTTATCATGAATATATTTGGTGAACAATGAGAAAAATCTTTCATTTCTTTTCATTCTGCACACAATTCATGTTAATCAAATGAAATACAAAACAAGTTAATGACTATAATAATGGTCACAAAAAATGAACAATTTATTAATAACTATAATTGATTGAAAATAAGATTTTCATCTCATTTATCCAACCATTATTCATATTCATTTAATGAAAGTTTATTGCGATCCAATTAAAGGCTAAAATTAAGTCCTAGATTCGTGTAAATATTAACGATAAATGTCCATCTCATTATTCAGAGTAAAATGAAATGAAGAAAAGCGAGAAAATCATTTAAAGCTATAATTTCAGTTTCTCATCACAACAATAATCCGAACCATAATCTGATATTGAACTTTGAACAACCTTTAAGTTGAACAAGCTTTCAGTTTCAATATTATTCATAATCAGGGAAACCTTTGAATCTGTCAAAGTAAAGACAGACTTTGAATGAAATTATTTGTTGATCAATAATCAACTGAACCAACGATCATCAAGTGAACATTAATTATAGTTACTCAACTACCTTTCCAACTGGAATCAATTGGCAATCAATTAATCACTGGAAGGTCACTCAATGTTTCCAAAAATCAATTTCTTCTTTAATTATTGATTTATCAAAGTTGATCATTGGGTCGACATTGATGGAGGAAACCTTTTCCTTAAAAGAGTTACATTGAATCACAATTAACTTTTAACCTCTTAATTGAATTTCATAGTTAATTTACTTTTAATCAATCTTAACCAACAACAGTTAACTTTACAAAACAACCATTTGTCTTGTTGATTAACGCGCAAATCTGATTAAAGTTAACAAATTATCAATTAAATCAAGTTGTAACAATAATAATTAAACAAAGTAAAAGGTTGACAAGAAAACAAAGTTTAAAGTAAAGGCAAAGGTAAAGATGAGATGAAAAAGTGCGACTTTTGTTGATTCAAATGTCAATTAATTTCCCTTTTTTTCTCGTTATTCATTCCAATTCAGTTGAATGTTGTTTTAATCTTCCAATTGCTCATTTTACTGATAAAAATTGATTCAACTCTTAAAGAGTCGAACTTGGTTCATCCAAATATATTCATTAAACATCCGATGAAAATGTAAATTCAGGGTAAAACTATCAGATTGAGAGTGAACCAGAAAAGAGTGAAAATTTTGTTCACCTTTTGTTATTCATTTTCCCCTTTCCTTTCCTCTCTTTGTTTTTCATCAACTCAGCAATTATCATTATTAAATATTCAATTTACTGAGCAAAATGGAGTTGAACTGAAAAGCCGAACAATGTAATTATCATGTTTCGAGTTTCATTATTTCAATAAATCACTTGAATAACAGAAGGTAAACAATTGTTCAGCAAAAGATAATAACTGAGTAAAGACAATTTTTTGTTGAACCTTTGCTTTTTATAAATTCATAGGCAATTCAAGTCGCTCAAATTTATTCATTTTAATTCATTTTCACTTTTAATTACTATAAAAGGTTAAAAGGTTTGAAATTTTTCCCCTCAAATCCTGGAAAAGTTACTATTCTTTACAAAAATGAAATGCTTTGACAATCATTAGAGGGTTCATTGGAAAGGATTTGGACAGCATTCTGCTGAATCAATATTTTTCGGTTCAAAAGATAATATTTAGAACAATAGAATGAAATCTCTTTCAGAATAATTTTAATCTTCAAATTGAACTTCAATTTAATGTCATTTTACATTGATGACCATTATTATGAGTCGATAAGCACTTGAAGGAAAGTTATCAACGAATTTCCAGGGAATGGAAGAAACAACAATTGTTATGTTTACCACGTCCATGAATATCAAATGAACCTGATAAGTCAAAATGATATTTAATGTGAAGAGCAAATAGCAATGAACGAAATGAAATATCGATAAATGTTATTACAAGTGCATGTTATTCAATATCAATGGACGAGTTGAGAGGAAAATGTTTTTACTCCAAATATTTTATCCTTTTATTGGTTAATCTGTTTATTAACTGGAGATTGATTACGAATTTAAAGTTTCAAAAGTCGACTCTTTTCTACTGAATAATCCCAAAGTTATTATAAATCAGTAAATGGTTCCACTTGAGCCAATGATAACACTTTTTTCCTTTCAATTCACACTTTTGCTTCAATCAATGATTTTTTTCATTTCGACTCATTATTTCATTAATACACACTTGCGATTCCTTAGGCACTTGAGGATAAGAAAGTGAAATATACTTGAAAAGGATTGAAGGAAAGTTGATAATAGCTGGTAATGGCGATTACAGTTACAACAAGTTAACGTAATCCTGCAATTTTTCACATTCAGTTTCATTCTTGTTCAGATAATTTTAATGGCTCTTTGAGGAGCAATAAAAATGGAATCAAAGAAGATGCAGGTCAAAAGATGAGAGGATGAAGAAAAAACGAAAGTCCATTTTGCATGGTTCAATCCGATGAGAAAAAGAAGAAAGAATTGAAAGAAATTCTTTGCGAAGAAAAGGCTTATTGGAAGTCAAATTTGATGGGAAAAGAGTCACTCTGTTAGGTTTAAAGATTAATGTCATTCGGCCTTCGACTTGTTACTTGCAAGACTTGTTTCAACTTCAATTGTTTTACATTCAATTCATTTGCTTCATATTTCGCTAAACTAACAAACACAATAATCTCAGTTCATTGCTTGTCAGCCAATTTACACGTTCAATATCCAAGCAGCCTTTAATCTTTCCCGACACTTCTTTATTGGAATCAAAATTGATTCTCAGTTGAACCATTTCTTAAACGAAATTCTGACCGATTCTTCAACACAATTTTGTTTGCTGTTCCTTCGAATAAATCAATTGTTTCATTTCAATGGGAAACAATTTTCATCTCCATTCTCATCTATTTATCATTCCACACTTTCATCAATCATTTCATTTCTTTTTTCGTTGTTTCTCCAACCAGAAAAAGAAGAATAAAAAGTGCAATTCTCAAGTTTATAATTTAGCAATTTTCATGATCATTCAGTTCAGTAGAAGAAGAAGAATAAGAACAACTCAAAATATCATTAAACTTTTTGCTCCCTTCATGTTCCATCTCGATGATAAATAATATTTTCATCATTTATAATACCTCAAAGTAATCCATCCTTTACAAAGGGAATTGATTGCAAGATGAATTCCTAAACACTTTTCTCCTTCCTTCACCTTAAATGGTTCAACAATGATAAACATTTCAATTTAAAGCAGGTAAAGCAAGGAAATGAAAGTAAATAAAGAGTAAATTGAAATTGAAATGAACGAATGGCTTTCCATTGGGATTTACATGGAAACTCATTAAACAAGTGCAATCGTCTAATTCATTGATTAACCTCGATCAAGCTCAACACGAGAAATGCTCTCAAGATGAAACTCGATATTAAAAGTCAACATTTGCAATTCATTTTTGCGTTTCATTTTACAATAAAATATTGAAAATAAAATGTCAAACAAAAAAGACAATAAAAAGCATGAAAAGAATGAAAAGAATGAAAACAGAATTGATATTTGGAATGAAATATTTTCTACTTTCATTCACCTTTTCATCCAATTTTAGTGGTCAAGTTATTAAAATTGATGAAACTGGTCAAAGTGAGTAAATATTAATGTTAATATTCATTTGTTGTTAAGTTTATGTGAACATGAACTTTGAACAAATCAGTTGATAACAATTTTATCATAATATTTCATTCTATTTACTCAGACATTGAATAAACAAGTTGAAGGCGAAACTCAAAAAATAAAAAAAATGCTCGAAGATGCTTGTGCGAAATGAAATATTTGTAACATTCTGCCAAGTTCAACAAGCTAATTTATGACTCTAACACTTTTAGTGCTAATTTCAGCTTCACTGTTCCGATAATCTAGAAAACATTGGAATCGAGGTATTAGATGAAATACTACAAAGAAAAAATAGAAAGTAGAAGAAGAATAAAGGTTGGCATGTTTATATCATGATTATGATGATGGTTTTCATGTAAACTGATTTCCCTCAGTTTCCTTTGGATATTGCGTTTTGCGTCTATCAATAATTACCAGTCAAAATTACTCTACATTTCATCGTTTAAACTGTTTATTTTTTGTCTCGACTCGAGATTCACTTCTCTTCGTCTTTTACTTTTCAAATTTTCATGTTCAGTAATCAATTGTTACTCAGTCTGATCACGATTGACACAACATTAGTTCAATGACAAAATAAAATAGCATTTAAACATGAAAATCCTTTCTTCTTGTAGCAACTCAAATCAGAATCTTTATTCTGAGTTTGAGAATTTCAAGTTTTCTTTGTTGTTTCGTTTTTACATTTTTGTCCCATACACGATATCATCTTAATGCTCATCGATGTTGGATGTTTTATTCTGACTAATCTTTATTTCGAAATCTATTTCGTAGTAATCGGTTTTCCAGGTATTCACACAAATCGACGATTAAGTTTGGTGTAAATAATATTGAGAAATGTTTTTTGCTTGAATTGATTTTGATTTGAAATACTTGATTCATCAACAGATGATTACTTTGCCCACTCACACTGAGAATGAAATGTAAAATTTAAAACGAATTCATGATAATCTTTATGAATAAAGAAATGTATCTTTTCAAGCAGATCAGTTATAACATTATATCCAATTGAAACTGTCAGCATTCATCTTTTCCTATTCAAACATGTTTCAATCTATTGATTGAATTCACCACACAAATAACTGAATATAGTTTTGTATCACTTTTCAAACCATTTCTGATTAATAAGCTTTGATTTGGACGTCAAAACAGTTTAAAGTGAATTTAATTTTCGCTCATTTCCAGGAATAAAAGTTCAATTCTGTGAATCAACATTGAATTAAAGTGAAACTTTATTCCAAATTACATTTCAATTTTTCTCAATCTTTTTCATTCCTTCTTCTTCTCAATATCAATTATTCAAATGTATCATTTATTATTGTTTATTCAATTCAATCATTTGAAAACAAATTGATTAAAGTTGAACTTATTCTGCTTTTTAATGGACAAAAGTCTTGATTAGCCGAAGCACCTCTTCAACATGAATCAATGTAATAATATTTGAATCTGAAGGGAATGACAAAAGCATTCCCAGTTGATGCTCTCATTATCTGATTGTTCATTTAAGCATATGAATAATTACATTATCTGGTTAGACAATTTAGACTGCAAACTTATACTTATCATGATGATGGTCAATTATGCCGACTCATTGAATTTTCATTCAGAGTTTCATTAGAAGAGATAAAAAAGCTCATTTCGTTCCTTTTTTCATTCTTTTCAATTTACTTCGAATGAAAAACTGTTGAGTCAATGATTGCCATTATTATAAAAAGTGAAATGATAATTCATTTTTAGTGAAAAAATTGATCCCCAAACATAATTCGAGTTCATTATTTTAATTATTTAAAGCTTATTTAAAGTTAATTGTTCAAGTTAACAGAATTGAGTGTAAATGATGAGAGAAAAGAAGAAATGGAAATGAATTTGATAATTACTGGATTGATGGTTGTAATTTCATTTCTTGTTTCACTGATTCGCTCACAATTGCACTCGCAATATTGAGCTTTGAAACGAATTGTCTTCATCCTCATTATCATCATTATCATTCTCTTCATCTTCCGATTCATTGTTACAGAATTCATCTTCTCTTCTCTTCTTCTCTACATTTATTCTCATTCTTGTTCAGTAAATGTTAAAATCTTGTTATATTCAATGTTCGAGTTCTTGCAAGCTAAGGTTATTATGCTTTCAACTGTCAGATTTGTTCATTCCAATGAAATTGGTAAGAAGGAAAAAACGAAATCAAATTAATTTCTTCTTGGAAACAATTGGGTTAAGCACATTTGGGTATCAAATGGAAGCAACAATTTCATTTCATTTAATCATGAAGGACAAAGTTTTCAATTGAAAACAGAATCGATTCAAAACTGAGTTCGCTTTCACATAACACGAATGTAAGCCAACCTAAGCAGTCGACTGAAGCTGGTCAATGAACAGTCAACTCATCAGTCAACCTCGCATTTGAATGTAACTCATTAAAGTACAAATGAATCCTTATTTACATATTGATTAGGATTCGATTGACTTTCATTTTAATTTAAAATCAACTAAAACTTGTTGGAATATAATTTCAATTACAATTATTCACTCATCTGTATCATGATTAGTCTGGAATAAAACTTGAGGATTTGACCAGAAAACTATGAAATGTAATTAATTCTGTCAACTGAAAGTTAGAACTGTTTTTGTTTCCATTAAAATTGAATATCTTCTTCTCTCAAATAATAACTGAGTCTTGCTAACGATTTGTGATTATCATGAATGATGAATGATTAATTGCTTCCAAGACAACTCCAACCGAAGACTATCGTTATAAATGTTTAAAAGTTATTATCTGTTTATTGAAGGCTCAACATTGTTAATCACTTGATGTGATAATTTCCATAAAAATATTAATTCTCTCATGAAACAGATTATTCATTTCTCTTTCATACTCCATTCTCTATTCAATTGATATACCAATTAATGGATTTTTGACTAACAATTCAACTAAACCTTGAACAATAAAATTAATTACTTTTCCTCTCATGAGATTATTCAATGTTTACAATCGCTTATGCTCTTTACTTCGACATCGACATTCATTGAAACATATTCAACTCTAATGATTCATATATTTCTTCATGTGATCAGTTTCTTTTGATAACAATTGATTCTTATTATTACATTGCATAACTAATCTGAACAATTTATTCATTTGATGGAAGCAATGAAGACTCGCCTTGAGCATAAGTTTGCCTGTCAATCTGAATAAATACTATTGTGACAAGTACAATGCTAATTAGTTAACACACAAACCAAGTGAATACACTTTATGTTGATGAAAATTCCTTCAGGGAATTGATTGCAGGCAATAGGAAACAGAATTTCTATTTTTACGACAATTCTATTTCTCAATGAATATCTAGTTTGCGTTATTATTAAACACGAATTATTACAGTTTATTTGAATTTCGAGTTAACTGTCAACTTGTGGTCAACTCTTGTCACAATGAGTAGAGCATGAGTTGACTCGATCCATTCAAACTGAACCTTTAAAGTGAATTAAGATTATTGGCCGATTTTTCCTCATTTTGTTAACTGAATTTCATTCTTTACTCAAGATGAAGATAAATGTCAGATGGATAAACCGCTTTGAAAGGTAAGACAAACATGAATGAATGTGGAATCAAAGTAATCATTCACAAATGTGAATACAATTGTGACAATAAAATGAAGATGAATGCAATTCCCTCGAGTTGAATAAGTCAAGACGGTCAAAAAGGGTTTGCCATTCATTAAGGATTAAACTTTATCCTTATAAGGATTCAGGTTTCCCTAACAAATGCGGTTCACCTCAGGATAGTTAATCATGTTCACTAACAATATAAGCCAACAAGACAATCAAAAGTGTCTCAAGACAATCAAGAGTAAACTTTGAGGTCGCACTTTTCACACCAAATAACACACAAAATCCAATCAATATGAAACACAAGACGATAATTTCGTGATCGACCAAAAGTTAAAGAGTAAAGTATTTAATTTAATAAATGGAAACATGAATTGTGATGAATTGTGAGTTAATTGGTTGGACAATCCGATAATAATGAGCAAAATTAAGGTGAATATGAGAAAAGAATATTTCCATTGAAATAAATTGAATTGAATTTGGATTGTCTTATTGGGACTGTTGTCCATCTTTAAATGGATCTTTGATTGCATTGTTCACTCAATGTGATTACCATTAAATACATACACAGATATTGTTCACTGTTTCATGGTTAAAGTGAAAGATTGTGAATCAACTGAAAACCAAGATGTTAACTCCATTAACCTCTAACATGGCTAATGGTGAATAGTTATTTACTGAAGGCAACATTTCGTTGATAACTTCAACTTTATTCCGATAATAAAACAGACAGGGAATAATGATAACAATAACAATGAGGATAATGATAATTATCATGGAAAAAGATGACCCAAAGAGAACAATAAAAGAATCTTGTTTCGTTATCTCAACCCTTCCAATCAATTTTAGGTCAACCATTGGAAAATTAAAGGTGAAAATTGAATATCAAGTTTGACTAATTTTCAACTTAACCCATTCTTTATATCCATAAACTCACACCATTTAAATAGTGAAAATTCCAAAAGTTGTTTTCATGACCTTTTTATTGATTCGATAGATTCGTAAACGAAATTCAATCGATTCTTTACTGACCATTTTATGTTTTTTTATCATTAATAGATATCATCTTTCGTCTTCGACTTTCCCTCTTTGGTTCCAATGAGTTCGGACTGATGAAACTTTTATGCATAATTTTTTACTCTTCAATCTTACGAAACTTACTGATATTCATTTTACCACAATAAATAGCCATTGAGCTGTTGATATAATCAGACAGCCGAGTCAAGGAAACATCAAAAATGGTAAATATAAATCTAATTCTTATAACTTACGCACTTGACAATCAATGATGACATGAGTGAATCTGTCGATAATAGCACGAACTCTTAAAAAGACGAAACAGTTTTTCCCCTACTTGATCTGTTCTTAAAAATCTGTAAATTGATAAACTTGCCAGGTATGTTCGGAAGCACTCGGCATGGATAAGATTATACCTGATGAATACAAAGTTAGTCTAGCGATTCTCAGTTTTTGATTATTCTTGAGGAATATGATAAAAGAGATTTAGATTTTTCTCTTTTCTTTTAGTTTATTGTTGCCAAATTTGCATGAAAATTTCTGATTAAATAATGAATTGGTTGAAATTGTACAAACAGAGATCAAGATGAGCAAATACTTATCAATCTAAAGACGCGATTCACTTGGAACTTTCATCAATTTTATTCATTAATTTTATGCTAATCAAACTATTCTTTTGCTTCATTTGTTTACACTCATCTTTACCAGTATGGATTTGTTAACCATGCTTTAGAACTTCTTGTAATTCGAAACTTTGGAAATGAAGTTTGGGAAAAGATAAAGTAAGTCAATTTTTAAAGCTAAAAGTACAACAAGAATAACGAAAGAAAAAAACTTTAATTTCAACTGAAAACAACTGAATACAATTTAATGTTAACACAGGAAGGAAGCAGAAATTGAAATGGAAGGTTCATTTTTGGTTCGATTGATTTATGATGATGAAAACACTTACAATCTGATTGGAGCTGCTGAAAAGGTTCTGAGTAAGTTCACATGTTTTCCTCCTTCTACTTTCATTCAACTTTTCCACCAACAATTCATTCCTCCCTGGCATTTTCCCTGCCCTCAACTTTTCCCATTGAAACACACTGAAACCTTGTTGACAAGATTATTAATGAAACTCAATTTTAATGGTAAACCCATTGACTCACAAATTTGCAAATCTGTTGACATTCATTAAAAGATTCAACTCAATTGTTGATCAATTTTCATGAACATTATCATTTCTCGGTAAACAAACTAATCAATTTAATGTAACCCATTTGGCTGTTCACTTTTATGGTCAATAAATCACCTTAATCTAGTCTCTTCCAGAGTCTAACCTTTCCAACATTTTCCTTTGGATTAGTCCAACTTGAAACCCTGTGCTTCTCCATGATATTTCAATTCTGTCAGATTATATGTTGTCTGCTGAAAATCCCTTTTCCAGAACAACATTTTAAATCCTCAATTCGTCTCTTCATTTCTTCCAAATCTTTTTCCTTCTCTTATCCTTTAGCACAGATTGACCCAAGCACACAGCATCTGAAAACCTTTATCCAACCTTATTAACTCTACTTATCAGAAGCATCTTGTTACCAGCAAAAAAAGGTGAAACAAAAACGAAGAGAAGAAAAAGAAATTTCTTGTTCAACATTTTTCTCACTATAAATCATTTTTATAATTAATAACTTGTCACCTTATTGTTTAGCTTTATCAGAATCTTGATCGTGTTCCTTTCCTTTTTTCCTCAACATTCCTTGACATTTACACTTACCTTGATTCACCTCATCAATAATACATTTAACTCTTGCCAACTGCAATCAATTAAGAAACAAATATCAATAAATTTGAACATTTTACTTTCAACATCAATCAAGAAAAGCAATTCTCAACATCGACCAACATCCATCAATGAAAATGTCCAAAGTCAATGACAATAGTTTCGATGAGCTTGATCCACCCAGTAATAATGATTATGTTGAGCTCGAAAAAATTGGGTTTCCTTTTAACCTGGAAATTGACGAAAAAAAGAGGAAAATTTCAATAACAAAGTTTGATGAATGATTTTATCTTCAAATTAAGATGCTAATGTTACCTGCAAGTTTCAATATCTTTCACGTTCCTTGTCTTTATCATTACAAGTTTCATCTTCTTCCCTGGTAAAATATTATTACATTAACAAAGGAGTCTCTTTATTCTCATGATAATCTCTCACAGGATAAACAAGAAAATATGAGAATCCATTAGTTTGATGAGAAAATAAAATATTTTTCATGCTATAATCATTAAATTACAATTGTTGTTTTACTAAATTTTCTGGGAAAAGGCAGAGGAACGGTAAACCAAATTAGATTATCTTGTGAATTTCACCTTTTTTCAAATTCCATTTTTAATATTATCCATTAATTATGTTCAACTGTTCATGACTTTGCCAACATTTTTCATTCCTTCATCTTGTTCAGTTCCTAATCAATTATTTCGTTGCGATTGAAAATTTTTAGAAATTCTCCAAAATTCGATTTGAGATCAGAATCAGAGATGAATTGAAATGAACACAAAATTTAAACTCATCGATTACTATTCTGAACAGACAAACTATTGATAATGCTCTGAATCATCTGTTGAACTTCTTCTTTATTCCAACGTTTCCCTGAAATTTTCGTTGACGAAAGGGCATTGTCTTGAAAAGCAATTCTCAATTCTTCCAAAACTCTTCGTACTGAATCGAAAAGCGAATGATACTTAAATTTTTGACCCAAAGAAACTTTTTATTCAGAGGTTCATTTTTTTCAGGGAAATTAATAATTTTTCTTTGTTCTTTTTGTAATTTAGAAATTCCTGCAAACGAAATTCTGGAACTTTTTGGTCGCATGTTTTTCGATTTTTGCCAAGAATCTGGTTACGATAAAATTTTACAAGTTTTGGGAGCAACGCCAAGAGACTTTTTACAGAATCTCGATGCTCTTCATGATCATTTGGCAACCATTTATCCAGGTAAATGAAAAAAAAGTTAATTTCCTCACTAATGACGCTGCTTGTGATCATCTTTTGGCTTCTGTTTACCTTCAAACCCAAAAGACTTAATCCTGAAGGAAAAAAGTTTCAGCAATTTACAATAATGAGCAATTAATTAGGCAAATTATTAAAAATTTTTCTATTCATTAGAGAATTTTTAATTGTTTTAATAAATTTTGATCAGTCATTTGCAACTATTATCATTATAATACTCATTACTATTAATTATAACACAAATTTTGTGCTCAACTTTCATCCCGATCTGCCTTTTAAAATGCAAATTTCAACAGCAGCTTTGATCCTTTTTTAATTGCATTTGTTTTGTCTCTTGTTTCATCAAAATTTACATTTCGCTCAATCGTTTGTTCCCATCTTGCCAGGCATGAGAGCACCAAGTTTCCGTTGTACTGAGCGTCTTGAAGATGGTGCATTGATACTCCACTATTACTCGGAACGAGCTGGCTTGGAGTATATCGTCATTGGTATTGTTAAGGCGGTGGCCAGCAAGTTGCATGGAACCGAGGTTGAGGTTGAAATAATTGCCACCAAAGACGATGGCATTGACCATGTTCAGTTTAGTATTAAAGAGAAGTGTTCAAATGGCCAAAGGATTGCTGAACCATTAGTCGAAGAGTTTGAGTATTTAAACCTGGATAATCGAATCAGTCCAATGACCTTCTGCAAAGCATTTCCATTTCATCTTATTTTTGATCGTAATTTACAAGTTAAACAGGTAAGTTGCCCATAAAATTTGAAATTATTTCAAACGTTTTTTAAATCGTAGAGCTTTATAATTTGCAAAGAACGAGAAAATTGAAGTTTAATGATTTATAAGGCATTTAATGGACGATAGCCATTTCTGAAGCATTTTGTTCTGGCTAAAGTTGTAAAAGTTTTCCCTTGTTTACTTACTTAGGCGGGGACATCAATTTCTCGTGTTTTACCTGCTCTTCAACTGACCAGCTGTCGAGTCAATACTGTTCTTGAAATGGTCAGACCTCATATGGAGTTTGCTTTCAAAAACATCTTATCTCACATTAACACTGTTTTTGTACTTCGAACAATTACTGACATGATCTCAACTCGACCTCCAGATTGTCCTCATAAAGCAACAAACGTCAAGTAAGTTTACTTTAAACTTGTCACCAAGCTTTGCTAAAACCGAAACGTTAAAAAGTTCAAAGACTTTCAATTTAATGGAAACAGTTTTTGACAATTTCCATGCATTTTAATCGAAATAGTTAGTGTGCCATTTCATCTCGAGTCTTGCTTGAATTGAAGTTTCTTTTTGTTATTCACTCTTTCTGACTAGGTTGCGATTAAAGGGCCAAATGATTCATATTCCTGAAAACGATTTAGTTTTATTTCTTTGTTCACCTTCTGTTGTTAACCTCGAAGATCTCAATAATCAAGGTCTATACCTTGAGGATATACCACTTCATGATGCAACCCGTGACCTTGTTTTACTTTCCCAACAATTTGAAGCTGAATACGAATTGACCAAAAACTTGGAAATTTTAACCGACAAACTACAGCAAACTTACCGTGAACTGGAAGAAGAAAAAAAGAAGACAGATTGCCTTCTCTACTCTGTTCTACCTCCATCCGTAGCCAATGAACTTCGTCACGGTCGTCCAGTGCCAGCTAAAAAGTATGAATCAGTGACCATTTTGTTTAGTGGAATCGTCGGTTTCAGTACATTTTGTGCCAAAAACTCGGATGCCAAAGGAGCCATGAAAATTGTTAAGCTTTTAAACTGTATATATACAACTTTCGATGTCCTCACAGACCCTAAGAAAAACCCAAACGTCTACAAAGTAAGCTAATGAACGACTTTTAAACTTCGCTTTTGTTCATCATTTCAATGTTTCTATTCTTCTGTCTTCAAAAGGTTGAAACTGTTGGTGATAAATACATGGCTGTTAGTGGCTTACCTCAACCTTGTCCTTCTCACGCTCGCTGTATTGCCAAGTTGGCTCTAGACATAATGGACCTTTCCAAGACAGTAAAGACTGAAGACGTCGACGATGTTGTAAGTCAATATAAACTCGATATAATTTTCTTTACTTTAAATCTTTTCTTCTCTTTTCTTCTCAATCTCATCTTACAGCAAGTTACCATTGGGATTCATTCAGGTGAAGTAGTTACCGGAGTCATTGGACGCCGAATGCCTCGTTACTGTCTCTTTGGTAACACCGTGAACCTGACAAGTAGAACTGAAACAACAGGAGCTCCAGGTAAAATAAACGTCTCAGAAACAGCTTACCGTCTGCTGCAACAAGAAGACAACAAGGACGAAACCTTTGATTTCCAACTTCGTGGTCCTGTGACCATGAAGGGTAAAACCGATCCAATGATGGTTTACTTCCTTACACGAAAACCCGTTAAAGAATCAAAAGTTGAAGAGTGAATCAAATCGTAAAAAGTCAGCAAATGTGATAAATATTTTACTGTTGAACCAAACAAATGCACGAATTACGAAAACAATGTTTTCTCAACATGCATTGCCCATCTTCATCGCATTTCTTTTCATTTACAAAACACCAAAAATTCTGTGCAACTTTTTTCTCTTTTTTAGATTAAAGTGTTTTCTTTTCTAAAAATATGTATCCAAAAACACTGCCTTGGATATTTGATGCAATAAACGCTGAACCAAGTTTCATTGTTATACAAGTGAAACCTTTGTAAAATCAATTTGTAAGCGATGAATAAAAACGATCGACAAAATGAATTAATTAATACTTTGATCTTTATTTGTCTTTCAATATCAACATTTGTGATTACATTGAACACAGTTCGGGTTCATTCGAGTGCAGCGATAACATTGAAAGTAAGTACGCATTAATAGACGAGTTAAATGGATTCATTGGCATAATCAACTCTCAAATCGAAACAATCTTTCATCTGATCGAGAAAAGGTTTTAAACAAAAAATTTAAAGTAATCCATAAAATGCTAAAATCTATTCAATTTAATGTGCAATTTGATGTTTATTTTGCTTCTCGATAATCAATAATATCGCTAACTTTTATACATTTATTTATATATATTAATATAACTTTTGGATTCTTTATTGGTTAATGGGTTGAGGATAAAAAAAAGTTTTATTCCACTTTTTATTGCGCACTTTTCACTCTTTACTTTTCATCACTTGAAAAACATTGGACAACCAGTTCGCGATGTTTTCCCTCTCGACATTGAACTTTTCATTTCATCAAAATTTGATTCGATTGTTGAATTGTCCAGTTTATTGTCACTTTTATTGTTTTCCTTTGAATCACTGTTGACCTTGTTGTCGTTATTATTGGCTTTATTGGTCCCACAAGATGTTGATGATGAGCATGATGAAGTTGCCTTCAAATTTTTGTTGCATTCCATAACTGTATCTTCAACTCGAATCGCCATTATATTTTCAACGGCAACTCCTTTCGTCTCTGCAATCTTATTAATAACCTCTTGAGTTTGCAGTTGAATGTTTTCAAAAGTCAACTGATTATCGATCAAAGCTTGGCCAATGTGCTTCGCTAAGGATTCTTTTGCATCGACACCTGAATGCTTATAGTCGTCCACAAAATAACCATTGCCAGGTATTTCAGGAGGAAATCCAGGTGGAAGACAGTCACGAGAACGCTCAGTAAACTTGAATCCAGGACGGCTGCTTAAAAGTCTGTAAACGGCAACGAAAAGTTAATTCATAACATTGCTTTTCTAACGTATTTTATCGAAATTGATTTCCACTAAAAGTAAAATCTTATTTGCGAAAGATCGAACAATCTATACAATATATAAAGTCAAAGTATCAAATTTTTGCGTCAAGATTGTGGCTAAACTGAGCGGGTTCCAAGAAAAAAAATTACACAGTCTGAAAGCCCTGATTCAACTACAACGCCGAAAAATAGAAAACCTAACCTCAGAATCTCATGACCTCTGAGAAATTCATGAAAATAGAGAATGGGGGAAAAAATGTAGAATCCGTATCCAATAACATTGAGAGAGGGGGAAAAACTTTTTTTATTCAGGTTTATTGTTGATTGTTGACCAGGATTTTATGTAAAACTTTGTCATTTAAGTAAAGAGTAAAGAGGTGACCGGCTTTTTTCACCAGTTTTTTTACCGGTTTTTCACCGTATTGTTCACCATATTGTCCACCACTCAATCCAACACATCTACCAAATCAACAAAATCAAACAACAACACTTTTTTTAAAGAAACTTTTCTCAACAAAATTGTCCACTTTAGAGTGGCTTTTTCCACCACTTTTTTCCTCCACATTTTCAAACAAATTTTTATAAGATTATCTACCACCCAGAACTCAGATTCTTGAGAAAATCATTTTCATTTTTATTTTTTTTAATTAACCACCTTAATTAATTTATTTGTTGACCACTTTTACACCATCTAACACATCCACTATTAATCACCAAAGTGGTCAAAAATTTGGTGGATTTGGGTAGGGGATGATCTTATATAAAAATTGTTTCAAAATGCGTGTGAAAAAAGCCACTCTAAAGTGATGGACAATTTAGTGGACAATTTTGTTGAGAAAAGTTATTTTGGTAGATATGTTGGATTGGGCAATGGACAATACCGTGAAAAGACGGTTAGCATGGGTGGTTAAAAGAAATTTACGATCAGTCATGATCGTGCCTCAGCTTGTTGTTCTAAAGAAAATGTGAAACGTTTCAATAAAAAATTGCATACCTGTAAGTAGTTGGACTTATATTGACTCTCATCGGTTCACTTTGAGATTCAAATTTGTTTGCAAGGGAAACATTGTTTCCAAATAAACAGTATCGAGGCATTTTGATTCCAACTATACCAGCCAAGACTGATCCTGTGTGCAGACCAATTCTCATCTGTGGAAATTCGATAGAATAAACGAAATTGAATTTCGAATGGCAATGAATGGTCATTTGAATAGAGAAAAGTCTAAAGCTGACGATTTTCGATTGACAATGAAACTTTTTATTACCTGAAGTGGTAATCCAGTTGGTGATAAAACAGTGTTAACTGCATTAATCATTTTAAGTGCCATCCAAGCAGCTTGCTGAGCATGAATGTCGCTTGGTCGATGAAGTCCAGCAGCTACACAGTACGCATCACCAATCGTTTCAATCTGACAAAAGATGAAATGCAAATATGAATCATCTTTGAGTCAAAGTCAACAATCAAAGCATAAAATATTAAACTTGAAATGTAAATGTCAGGAAAGGATAACAAAATTGAAAATGTAAACTCGTCAAGGCATGAAAATTTTTGGTCATCCAAATCAACCCTTTGAACATCATCTAATTTTGAACCTTCAACCCTTGAATAGCAAATGAAAATGAATCCTTTTTTTCACAGCAACTGATTCGAAACAAGACTTGAAAATGATTCCATGATTCATTCATTTCACCTTTTCCATTCAGATTATTATAAAATTATTATTCATTGACTGGAAGAGAAAGACTGTCAAAGATTGATAAACATTCAAATATTTTGTTGAATATTGAATGTTCAAATTCAACATGAAAAATGTTTTCCCAAAAATGTCATCGAAAGAAGGCAAAAAGAGAGGAAAAAGAAAAATTCGAAAAGCAACATTTTTTCTCATTCTATTCTTATTTTTATCACCTTTTCTCATCATTGGTTCAACATTTTTGAGGTGAAACATTTCAACTCACAAGAAGAAGAAAAATCTTTTCAAATTCAATATCTTTGCACAAACTAAATGAGTATTTTTGTTTCCCTTTGTTCAACTTTACCAAAAGATGAAGAGAAGAAAATGGATAAAATAACTTTTCACTCCCAGTTACATTTCAATTCTCATTTTCATCTCTTTTGGTTAACAAACAATTTAAACAAAATTCAAACTCTTGTTTACCTTTGCCTTCATCATATCCTAATAACACCTTTTACTATTCAATTTATATCTTTTATACAGGAGCAAAAATACAGCGAAAAATATCGTTAATCGGATTAACATTGCTGTAAATAGTAACCCAACTTGAAGATGAAATATCATTTCTACTTTTATTTATAAAATTCAACTTTGACAATCCATTTTTGCTCTTCACTTTACCCTGAAAAAGTTTCCCTTTTAAGTCTCATTACTCTTCACTTACAACTTTACCTGATTGTGCACAAATTGATCAGCTAATCCTAATGAATAAGAGGATTCCAATGAAATTCCAAGACTAATCATTCCATTTCGAAACTTGGCAATTGTCTATCAAACTAATCTCACATTTAAAGCCGATCGATCAGTTTTTGAGTTAAAAATACTTTTCACTTTTACCTTTGAAGGAAAGTTTTTTTTTTAAATTTTCTTTTTTCGATTCTCATAATTCCCAGAATTTTCTCTAATTGATTCATCCTTTGATTATCGTCATTATCATGAGTGGAAGAAGGAAAGTGACGAATGGGAAAAGTGGAAGAAAAAAATATCCAACAGAATTGGTGGAAAATCAGATTAACCAGTTCTGACAGGGAATGATATCACTGGGAGGGAAAAGGAAGAGTGCAAAAAATGATGACGAAAAGGAAAAAAACTTCTTGATACAATTCTTGAGTCATGAATGGAGAGATGAAGAATGGGATTTTCATCTTGAGATTCCTTGAGTAAACGTAAGTTTCATCTCAAGATTTTTGAACAACGAAAGTAGAAAGGAAAAAAATCTTTTGATAATTTTGATACAATAAGAGTTTCATGTCTATTGAAGGACGAAACTTGAAAGTTCATTTTCATTTCTTTTCGATCTGCCGGTTTCCTGAAAATGAAACAAATAATTTCCGTTGGCATTCACATTGAAACACGAGAAAAAGGAGTTTCTTGGTTAACAAAATGTTTCCTGTTTTGAGAGGTTTCATGTTATCTTTTTCCATGTTTATCTGTATTCAGCTCTTTTTGCGCCACTTTTCATTCACTTTACTCATGAAAATCAATTTGCCTTTTTGATTTCACGTTCAATAAAAACATCATGAGAATGTGATTTCATGGAGTGAAAAGATGAATATTGTTGACTGTTGAAGACTGAATCAGCATTGAATAGTGATAGGTGAAGCTCAAATTGTTGAATATTGAAAGGGAAAAAGTTTCATGATGAAATGAGAAAAAATGGAAAAAAGAGATAAACCAAATTCTTTGAATTATTTTTTCTCGTCTTCTTCTCCATATTATTTAGATGAAGAAAAGGAAAGCTCAAGAGTGGGAGTTTGAAATTTATAAATATATCGTTGGAATGAAGAAGATGAAAAATTTGCTAAAATGAGTAAAAGCAAGAAAAAGGATGATAAAGTGAGAGAAGGGAAGAGAGAGAAAAGAGAAAAAAAGAAAGATGTAAAGCATTTCTGTATGCTTCAGGGAACAGCAATATTACATTATGGACGAGTGAACATTATCAAGACAATTGGAACTTCAGCAATCTTTAAGTGATAGCAAAAGAAAAGAGAAACAGAGCCAAGATTTTTGTGCCATCATGATAATGATAAATTGTACAATGATCATTTATGTTAAGCTGAGAGGGAAAAGGATCGCGATAAAAACAAAGCTAAATGGATTCGTAAATGTTAGACGTAACTCCATATCTGAAAATGTAACCACTTTGAATTTTAAAAGTTTCCCAATTTTTCCAATAAATTTTCGCATCATACAATTTCAAAAGTCCGAATATCGAAATGTCACAAATCAGGTTTTTTTCGTTCAAAGTCAAAGTTTTACTGGCGAGTTTGGAATTTCTAATGAAAGCGCTCCCAGGCTTTCCCAGAGCGCTACTTTCGATGGACGGAAGTCCAAACTCCTGAGATTCAGTGAAATGAATTACAATGTTCACTTTTTATTTCAAACGTTTTTATTTGTATTTATTCATTGAAATTTAATCTATTTTTGACAAAAAAGTTCTCATTTTTCAATCAAGTGATATTATCAGAATTTTCTTAGAGCAAGACTTTTCATCATTCACTTTTCTAACGCTAAATACTTTCATTTATGACCTGAACTTTGTCAATGTATGTTACTGCATTCTGTTACTTTCGCTCATTTTTCTTCTTTTTCATCGATTTGATCATTTTTCTGTAAAAATATTCTTGAAACACTATAAGATAATCAAATGCGTCTTTAGCATCTTTTATGTGATCAGTTTTTGTTTTATTGGGCATTCGATCTGGTCTTTTAATAACATAGCATATTATCACACAGGGATTTAACACTCCAAGTATACTGGGAGTGAACTGCATTTGATAAGATAAACTTTGGTGTGAACTGTGAAACTAAGCCAGTTGAACACTGAACATGGTAAATCTGTTTAGAAATGCTTTAGTAATCTAGAAATGATGAAAAATTAATGCTTGTGATTTTTCGTGAGCTAAATTTAAAATTTGAATTCTAAAAATAACAAAGTGATAACTTTACTCATCGAAATAGTTTTAGCAAGTTTTAGTGAAATGAAATTTTTGCGCTCTAAGCCTAAACTTGACAACTGTTGATTAAAAATGACTGATTTTGGGAACAAAAATGTTCCTCAGTGAATCTTGATTCTTCTTCTAACCAATTAAACTTTTCATGGCAAGTTGAATATCGATCAAAGTGAGCAACATGCAATTATCGGTTCAATATCACATTTCGTTGGGTGAGAGAAGAAGAGGAAAAAATGGTTCAATATTTCAATACATGAGAAGGGTTGAAACTGAAGTAAAGGGAAAAGCAAATAGTTTCATTAATGAATTCACTATTTACCATATTTCAGGTTAAGCAAATAAAGTTGAACAGTTGCTCGAAAGATACAAAAACAAAACTCTTGAGTTGACTTTTGATACATGAAAATGAACTAACAATGAACAATTTCATGTTTAATGATTATTGATGAGTCCTGAAAAGAGAACTGCAAAGTAACAATAAATTTCATTTTTTCAACTTTTTTTCATTTTCTAAAACAAGAATTGTAAATAATGAAGATAACAAGAAGAAGGAAAAGGACCAAAGAAATGACCATTGAACAGATAGACTATTCATTTGAACATGAAATATCATCCTGTCAACTGAATATTCACTGTTATTGCAAAATTTTCCATTTTTTCAAACTTTCTTCTTTTCGTCAGAAAAGTTCAATTTGAAGCATTTTCCCATTTCACTTTGAGAGGACAAAAAAGTCCAGAACAATGAAAGAGAAACAGAAAAAAAAGAAAAGCAAAAACTGAGTGTCATCATGAACATGAGTATTCATGATTCATATTCAAACTTGTTTCATCTGCTTAAAGCTTGACCCATTTGGAAGGTAAAAAAATAATAACTAGGAAAAGAAGGAAAAACAAAACTAAAGGATATTTTTTCTTCTTCTTCTGAACATTATTATTATCTTGATCGTTGTATAATAAATATATTTAGTAACTGAATAGAGGAAACCTGGTGACCCAGAAATAACCGTTTGGTATATTAATATCAAGGTAATGTTAATGATGCCCAATTCAGTTCAATTTAGATTCAACTGAATACTCAAGATTATTCTCCATCATTTTCTTTTTTTCTCTCTTTTCCAATTTTTTTCTCTTCTCTTTTCACTCCAACATTTTCTTCGTTTTTTCTGCTGCTGCTGCTGCTCATCATTCTTCAAATGCTACATGATAATAAATTGACGATGATAATATTACATGCTATTCTCAAGACAATTGTAAAATGTAATATTTTCATTTTTTTGTTTGCTGCAAAAATGCTGCTTGTATGTTATTATATGTTGACATTGGCATCAATAACTAAACAGGTTATTTCTTTGAGGAAACACGTTTTCATTATTGGAAATATTTGGCAGACTTTGCTTTTCAAGAATTCAGTTCAATCGAATAATAAAAGCTCCGGAAATTACTGTAATTTATCTCATTTTATCGGTAAATGGAAATGCGCTTTTAACTTTGAAATTCACTGGAAATTGGTTTCGATTTTTATTCTCCTTTTGATAAAGTACTTGTTGAACGTTTCCATTTTTAAGGTTTGTTAACTCGGTTGTGAGTTAGTGTTTGGTTCTTGGAGACTCACAGTTCGATGGCTTTTGCAAAGATCCAGGCTTAATTGTTGACCAGTAAAGGTCTGTGTTCTGTTGCTTGTTAGTTCGGTGCACTACTGAACAAGAGCATTAGTTTGTC